ATATACATACATGTACACAACGAACTTGTCTCCACGTGTAGACACGCTAATAAATTCCTACTTAAAAACTTTATAACTTGATACTAATATTTTCGTGACACTACTTGAGGTGTTAATTGATTTGTAATTAGATAAGCGTCCTTTATACCATCTGTACATATTTAAAAAGTTCGTTAAGAAGCTATAGGTCAAACATAGGCTATTTTATCTGAAGAGTGCCACATAATTTACGTGGTACGATGTGTATAAGTACAATGATGATGTGTATAAGTACAAAAAAAGATATTACAGAAAGCGAAAATGCTACTTTTGAGAGTGTTTTTTGAAAATATGTTTATTGCATATACGCACGTTAACTTTTGTGATTAATTTTAGAAATATATTATCCTGACTGCAACTTCACAAATGGTTTTGGTGGCTGGGCTAATTCCAGATATCGTACTTGGATCATTGTTAATTCTACAACGAAAGACGTTGGAAGATTAACGGGAAAACAAGGTACTTCTCCTTCTCAATATTATAACATGTACTGTACAACTAAATGATTTTATCAGTTCAGATCTACTTACTCTAGCTATTCATATTCCACTAGGCATCTTTATTAAACAAGGGCAAATAATGTTAGCCAATCAGCGCGTTTGTTTACATTTTGCGTTCTTGACCAATAAGAATGCCTGAAATTCGAAACATGTAAACAAAAGGAGTGAGAAAATAACACCTTGTTCTACGCCCTCGTTGACATTCGATATTAAACTTTCTTCGCCCAAACTGACAAATTCTGCTAAAGCATGCTTTCTTCTTTAATTTCCTCGGGGGATTTTTAAAATTCGATCTAGAACGCGAAATATTTATGTTTGAATAACAGTGTTTCGACGCGCGTAAAATAGCAGACTCTCACTTGCACTATCTTAACACACACATAACAAATTGGTAGATTTGGCAGTTTAAAATTATTTTCCTCACACCACAGCTGACATGTTTTTAAATATTACCTATCTGATCTCATCGATCTCATTTCGCATCGGAAATGCGTCACAACGATCCAGGACTGACAGGTACAATATCGCATGACTCATTACTGTACATTCAAAGTACCCGGTTGGCGAAATAGCGATTGTCTGACCACAGTTAATAGCTGACAGACCTTCGCGAATGGCTTAATATTTCTGCTAATAAACTGTTCACGAGGGTTTCGTTCTGTTCGTCTTCTGGTTCCTCGTCAATCGTCATCGGCTGCCTCACTTCTTGGTCGCTTTCGTCCTCTTCAAAGCAAGTCGCCGGAGCAAACAGCGTTAGTATTTGCTGTCTTTTGAAGAGCTTCAACGTTGCTTTACAAACTGGGCTATCGCTGATGTTGGGCAGGATGCATTTGATGTGGAACGAAGGTCCACAACCACGGAAAACGTTCCAAGTGGATTAAGCTTTTTGCAGGCAGGCAAATCGCAAATCGATGGAAATTTTAAAAGAAGATTTATATTTTATATTTACAGATCTTGATACATTTATAGTCAGTACATCCTTGGAAATTATTCCAAAATATGACTGTGTACCAAAGTTAAAATATTACTCATAATCTCTAGAACATGTTTGAATGTTTTGAATCACTGCAGTTTAGAATTAGCAGTCCTTTAACTTTTTTAAAGACAACAGAACTGGCAGCCATGGCACCCCATAACTATTTAGTGTACAATACTAGTCAATGTAATTAATTACTACCTCCCCCAACCCAGAAGTAGGCAGTTTTTACTTCTCAGCACTGTCACTATCTGTAAATATCTGTGTGTAAATATCTGGTTTTGTCTCAGTGATCCGGCTTTGCCCCACACTTTGGGATTTGAGCAGGCAAGGATTTATATTGTCTGGTATTGGTACATAGTTTACCATAATCACAGGATATTATTGAAATATTTCCCTACCAATTCACTGCCTTAAAAGCATTATATTATTTGCTCTGTGTGTGTGTGTGTTACTTTAAATGTACTCTGGTTCCAGAGGCTCTTTGCGAGGCGAAAGAAACAAGATGCGAGAACGGAGAGCCTCTGGTCACATCAGGGCCGTATCACCAGGGGGCAGTAAGGCTTATATGTTGAAAAAAGTTCCAAATATCCAAAGAATAATTAATAATGACATTCTAAAAATTGTAAATAATTTATAGTTTTCTTTAGGAGGGCAGTTTCCCCCTCCTGCAGCCCTCTCCCCTGTGCTGTGTACAGCCCAGGGTCACTGTCCATTGCGAATCCCACTTCCACACTTGATTAGGTTCAGCATTTGAATTTCGCATGTGATTGCCCATTTGCAAAAGTATGCCAAACTGGTTTGGGAAATAAACATTGCTGTAAGCTAATTATAGCCTGTAATAAAATATTCTATCAAACTCAACCAAGAATGTATTACGTCATGTCCTGCAAAACTGATTAATGTTGATATGTTTATCTCCTGAGAAATTTAATACCTTTTCACCTGCGGGAGTAATAATATTCATGCTTGGTTGAGTTTACTATAATAGCTTGGGGCTTTTTAATTGAGGCTTCGGTGGCCAAGTGGTTAGCGCACTTGCCTGTCACCTCTGAGGCCGCAGGTTCAAGTCAGTGAGAACTTTCTCAATGCGACTCAAACCCAGTCCTCATGTGAAAAGAATAAACCGCAACGCTCTGCCGAACGTCACAGGTTTTCCCCGGGTACACCAGTTTCCTCCCACGTGGAAAGTTGACAGGGTGGGTTGGGTAAAAAGGGCTCACAGTAATTGGCATATGCTGTTGTGGTGACCCGGCCCTATTTGGCATGCTAAATAGATAGATAGCTATAATTAGCTCACAGTACCGGTAGTGTTTATTTCCCAAACAGGTTTGACATATTTTTACAAATGGCCAATCACATGCGAGATTCAAATTCTGAACCTATTCAAGTGTGGAAGTGGGATTTGCAATTGATATGATCACAGGCTTTCCATTCTCACCTCTTGTTTCTTTTACCTTGTGTAACATGGCAGTGTTATACCATGTTATTTAATATATTCAATACTATATATTCAGTATACTGTTATAATTATAAGAGGAAGACCTTAGGCAACCTTCCTCGCATGAATAAGCAAATATTTAGAGAGATTAAAGAACCACGGGAAACGCCTAGTACCACAAACCACGCAAACAGGACATGGTTTTGTGGTTGATAAACACTGCTAGAACTTGCTTTGACAAACATATTGCGTAGAGGAAATTAGTCATAGTTACAGATTTCTTCCTCTAAAATTTATTATAAAAGCTGAGCACAACCTGAGAGTCGAGAGCGGAGAGTGAAGTGAGAAGAGCCATTTAGGCTAAAATACTTCATAAGCCAACAAAGGCTGAAGTATATAATTAAAAGGCTAGATAATTAAGCTTCGTCAAGTAAACTGAAGAACATTGGAATATTGTGGAATAATTATTATTAAAGAAGACGGAATACAAAGTATAAAGAATAAAGATTCAAAGTTGTGCTCAGCTCAAACAAATAGAGAGATAAGTTGATATATTAAGATTACTATATTATTATAACATTATAGAGACGCTAATTCATATTGTTGAAAGTAAATAAAATATATAAAAGGTATAAGATTTCATGCTATTTGTGTTACGGTAGCGTTAATAAAATTTGAACCCGAAGCCTAAAGGTTGAAAATATACCTAGTTGGAAAATATATTTGACGCATAAATAACGCACCATAACAGTTGGGGGCTCAGGCGGGAAAGAGTAAAATCAGTCTAAACAGTTGCATGCTCCAAAAGAAAATTAGCATTTCAAGTTAAAACAAATAAAAATTGGAAAGTCATTTCATTGATAAGATATTAAGCGGAATTTGAGGAATACATTCTGCATGCGTCATAGTGTTAAGTGTGAAACCAGATACCTTAATTGATCTTAATTAAATAAGCATGTCAGAATTTAACCCCGGCGAATTTATGGTGGAACCAACCATAGAAAATTTTAATAGCCTGCGTAAAGATAACCTAGTTACGCTAGCCAAGCATTTAGGGCTAGAAGTAAGAAGTACCTTCAGAAAACGCGAAGTATACGATTTAATCAAGGAACATTTTGTTAAAGAAAAAACATTCGAACAGTCTGTTTTCATGGAACAAAGTATACAGTAGAAAATACACAGATTAGTGAAGATAGTGAAATAAAGGAGAAAGACAGACAGTGGCAGAGAGAGCATGAGATAGTTTTGTGGGAAAGAGAACGAGAGAAACGCGAGTTAATTCGGGTCAAAAATTTGACGTGACCAAGCATGTCCGAATGGTTCCACCCTTCCAGGAACGGGAAGTAGACCAATATTTCCTACATTTCGAAAAAATTGCCACAAATTGTGAGTGGCCAAAAGACAGCTGGACGATGCTGTTACAAAGTGTATTAGTTGGTAAAGCTCGTGAAATTTTTTCGCAACTTTCAGTAGAATTATCAGCTAATTATGATACGGTAAAGAACTTATCCTTAATGGCTACGAGTTGGTCCCAGAGGCATACCGCCAAAAATTTCGAAACTTTGAAAAAACTGACCACAAAACATATGTCCAATTCGCCCAAGTAAAAGAACAGTTGTTTGACCGATGGTGCTTATCTGAGAAAATCAATAAAGAATACAAAAATTTGCGGGAACTGATTTTAATTGAGGAATTCAAACGTTGCGTTAACCCCGAAGTCCGCACATTTATAAATGAACAAAAACCTGACAGTTTCATTGCAGCGGCCCGTTTGGCAGACGATTTCGCGTTGACTCACAAGACCACATTTGAAAAGAAGTCACAACCAAATAATTTTGACAACAGACACACACCGGCCAGAAAATATCCGCACGATAACCGGGGAAAATATGACCCCAGAGCATCACGCGACACGACTAATCTAAGTTGGCGACGACCGCCACAAAATTTCCAGCCGAATAAAACGTCGGAATTTCCGAACAAACGAAATAATTTTCCTTTCAGTACCATCACCTGTGACTATTGTAAGCGTAAGGGACACACGATGTCAGATTGCTACAGAAATCCACAAAATCAAACAAAACCAACCGGCATTGTTTCAACACCGGATAACAACACAACATCTGTTTTTGATAGTAATAATGCTAGTGATACTCAAGAGGATTTGATAGAGGTCAAAGCCAATGCTGACCCTATAATGAAAGTATTTGAACCATTTGTAAATGCGGCTAGTGTTTCACTTTTGAACAATCCAACACAACGTATTCCAGTTCAAGTATTACGCGATACTGGAGCGTCTCAATCTTTAATACTGACAAACACATTGCCATTTTCTGCGGAATCATATTCCGGAAACAATGTTTTGATAAAAGGAGTTCACTCCAGCGATTATAGTTCAGTTCCTTTGCACAACATTCGACTGCACTCAGATTTAGTCTCCGGAGATGTTTCGATAGGTATCATCGATACATTGCCTTTCGATGGAATACAATTGTTATTAGGTAACGATC